AGAGAGAGAGAGAGAGAGAGAGAGAGAGAGATGACAGGAGAGTTCCAAGATGTGGCATGGGATTCAACAAAGTTGAGCAATGGATCCATGTGATTGGATTCACCTCCCACTGAGTTTGAAGTGTTGCAAAGCTGGACATGGGTTTTCGACACTTGCTTTAGAGCTAGCTTTTCAAGCTGACTACTACAGATCATGGTGAGCAATATGCAGCTGAAGTACTTGCGAGAAGGTGTGGGGTAAAGTAGAGAAGACAATCTAAGTTGGCTCATCACCTTCACCTCTTCATTCTTTCTTCTGTACCATCTTACTTAACTCTAGTCGTGACTTAAGTCTTCACTCAAAGCAAATTCCTTTTCTTTTCTTTATGGGTAAAAATCATATATATATATATATATATATATATAATTTATATATTTTTGGTTTTAAGATGTGTGCAGGCAACTGATCTACGTACGATAAGGCAAAGAGTTTGGGAGCCTAACACGAATCTCAACACACAAACACTTACTCGGCAGCCGCCTAATAACAATATAATAATATTATTATTACAATTATTAGGGTAAAAAAGAAAAAGGAGGCTAACACTGTTCCATAGCGCGCGTGTAATTTGTGCGGATCGGCTGCGGCCTCGCTTTGATTGTCGTGCTTTCCATCATTCAGCGTGCGCGTACGGCGTATGTATGCGCACGTGTCTACATTTGATAGAGAAAGCGGAAGAAGCGGAGGACACGTACGACGTATACGGCACGAGCAGTAGAGTGAACGCCACCGCTGCTCCGTCATGTTTAGAATGCATATGCAACTCAAAATAAAGATGTTAATATATTATTAATTACTGAGTTAGAACAAATATATTGCGTTTATTCGTCCTTATATTGCCTTGTGTTTTTTGGATGCAGAGAGATGAAGAGACGATGAGCATGGAGGGTGGTGCAAGGGAGGACGACAGATGGAAGTCAGGGTAGGTCCTCCAGAGAAGGTGGAGAGGTCAAAGCAGCAGCCGCGGAGTATGCAGCTTTCAGCACATTTAATGGAGTAGAGTGTGGGGGGAAGGTGCCTCGAATTCCTGGATCCACACGAACGCTTCTCCTCTGCAACTGAGAGAGAGAGTCGTGTGGTTTTCTTCCACCCATGGACGTTGGCTCTGTGATGGTCCTTCTCTAAAGCTATTCCACCACCACCACTGTTCTTGTATTTCTTCTGCATCTCTTGAGCCTCGGTTCTTCGAGACAGAGAGAGAAAATAACCCAAGCTCACAGGTGACATGGGGTTCTTCGCTCCAGTAGCACCTCCATTTGTTCATGGCTTGACAGGGGAGCATGAGAACCACGGCAAGGTGGAAGAAGATGACCAACGACAGCACAAGCTCTGTGCTAGGGGCCACTGGAGGCCAGCCGAGGACGCCAAGCTCAAGGAGCTCGTCTCCCAACATGGCCCTCAACACTGGAACCTGATCGCTGAGAAGATAGCAGGAAGAACAGGTAGGTACTCGGGAACAAGAAAGAAAAAATCTATCGAATGCTTACTGAATCCTCTGTGCTTTGTTTGTTGCTGTTACCGGAACTGGTTCTGGGCAGGGAAGAGCTGCCGGCTGAGGTGGTTCAACCAGCTGGATCCAAGGATCAACAAGAAGGCATTCAGTGAGGAAGAAGAGGAGAGGCTGTTCGTTGCCCACAGGCTTTACGGCAACAGATGGGCGCTGATCGCCAGAATCTTCCCTGGCAGGACCGACAATGCGGTCAAGAACCATTGGCATGTGACCATGGCCAGGAAGCAGAGGGAGCAGTGCAGTTGTGCTTACAGGAGGCGGCGGAAGCCATTCCTCTCCTCCGCCCGCTCTCCCCCATCTCAGCACTCCCTCCCCAACGTTGCATGCAGTGGTGAGTCGACCATCACCAGCACCAGAGATGAGTCTGCTTCCGCTCGCGCAGACCTTTCCCTCGGTTCCTTCACCAGCAGCACTGGTCCTTCCAATGGCATGCTCAATGGTATGATCTTTTCTCCATATTCCTCCGAAAGAAACCCTTGTTCTGCAGCTCTGCTCCACATGAATTTTCAGCTGTCAACATCAACCATTGGCTCCCCTTTTTCCCATCTCATGGTGTTGGTCAATGGATAATCGTTTCATTGTAGGATCTGATGAAAGACTGGTGTCGGCAAACGACGGATTCTGTGACAAGTTGGGTAATTCTGGTGGTGGCTTTCTCCCTCATGTCAATCCTATGCTGATGCCGGTTCCTGGGTTTGGTCAGTCCGGCTGCACCTGTTCAACTCCAAGGGCCTCGGCAGCAGCTGAGCCACCAGCTTCCCACAAGACCTTGCCTCACGGTAAAACAGATCATGGAAGGAAGAACACTGAGTTGCCCTTTTTTGATTTCCTAGGCGTGGGAGCAAGATAAGGGTTCCAACACCCAAAGAAAGAGAGGTAGAGGTGAAGGTGACGTAGTTTCTGTCCATTAATGTAGCAGCCACAAAGCATGTTGCGGAAGAACTTTGATCCTGCGTTGTCTATCCTTCTCAAGGTTGTCAATAACCCGCAAGCTCTGATCTCAACCTGTAGATCAAACGAAATGAGATGATGCTTCATCCTATATATGTACGGAGACTACGTGTAGAAAAAAGAATCATAAAAGACTTCATCCATCCTATGATGTTCTTCAACCTTGGCACTGCTCTATGCTTTGCTCAGATCTGTAGGAATCGACAAGCAGTGGTCTTTTGTGTTGTTATTATTGTTGTTGTTTACCTCCCACTTTAAAGGCTGTTGGGTGCTCAAGAGTTTCTGAAGCACGGCCCAACTCCTCACCTTGCAGCGCCTTACAGTAATCATGGTGGTGCTGAAGAGCTTCTTAGTAAGAAGAAGAGAAAAAACCTTGGGAAAGAGAACGGTGAGCAGCGATCTTGAGGAAGAAACAAAGGAAATGCTTTGTGAGTAGTGATTTGGACCTGCATCCCCTTCAGAGGTCACCAGAAGGGGACTCTCTCTCTCTCTCTCTAGCTGAGAGGGCGGGCATGCTAACTGTGCAAATAAGTGGCAATGTCATGATTGGTTGCTTGTTTGACTCGACTGTGAGAATGGCATGGTGAAGGTGCGATTGAATCGAAGAGGCACCATTATGGGGCTTGGCAGGATGTTTCATAAATGTAGCTACGTGCAGAGATTTGGTTTTCCTTTCAAGGAGGATCTCATGACAGGTATAGCCATAGGAGGAAACAGAGGAAGAAGAAAGCTACCGACTGCTGGAGTTTAGGGGGGGGGGGGAGAACTCTGTGCAAAGCAATAAAGATTATATCAAATGGAAGAATGACACTTGGCTTTCAACAAGAGGGGAGTTTATTGGGCCACCCTTTTTTAACAGTTCAATTTTTGGTTTTTCATAACCCAAATAAAATCTTTATTATGATATCAAACATGTCACTATATTCATTTCCATTTCATCTAATATTTAATTAAAATTATTTATATAATACTCTTTATTCATTTGTACTTAAGTATCAATTTTATGTTGGAATTGATAAGTATTTTTTAATTAATAATTTTTTTTAAATGATATTTGCACCATGTTTGAAATAATATTATTTTTAAAATTTTGAATTGTTTTACTGATTGAATTAAAATAAATTATGATGATTTTTAGAGTCATGAATGTGATGGTGGCATTGATATATGATGATTTTGTCAAAAAAAAATTATTGTGGATTTCTAACTATCAACTGAGAAACCAACCGCCGTTGCGGGTCCGCCCGTCGACCGTGGGACCCGCTTCGTCGACCGTGGGACCCGCGTCGTCGTCCACCAATGAGAGTGGCTTTCCTTTCCTTTCCCTCCCCTTCTTCGACGCCGTCGCCTGAATGGCTCATGGCTTCGAGGAGCGCTTCCCAGCGGCATCCGCCGCCCTTCAAGTACCATGCACGCACACCTGCCTTCGTCGCCTAACTCTTGAGGGTGTCGCGGTCGAATGGCTACCACGAGCTCGCACGCCTCTAGTTTGGTTTCTTTCTCGCCGGTTATTCGTTGGGTTTCTTGATATATACACTTATAGGGGGAGAGAGAGAGAGAGAGAGAGAGAGTAGTTCTACTACTTCCTCCCTCCCT